TCGACAATATGCGTCTTTGCTGGCTGTAGCAGCGCTATAGCGCTGCACAGCAAAAACGCATAAAAAGAAAAGAAGAAATCCATTGCGTCTTGCCCTCCAACTAGTAAGTTAGTGATGTCGAATAAATAATTATTTCTTTGCTTTCGACTTATAACCTCATGGCTTAACCACTAGTTCTGCATGAATTCGTCCTTCCGAAATCCATACTTTTTTCAACCGTCTGTTATGGCAGGAAGATTAGATATACAAAACATTCTTTGAACATAACAAGACAATATACTGATACTTAAATGGAGTATTTTATTACCGATTCAATAATGTAACGCTGTAATCCATTTTGCGTTTCTTGATCCAACGCTTCAATTTTTCCGAAGAATACCTTCTTAGCTTTTCTTCTGTCTGTTCACCCTAATAGAACTGCAGCTTCATATCATACTTAACTTTGCACACTTGCCTCAGTATTTTTCAGATCGACCGCATCAATTAGTTGGTGCGTTTCGCAAATTTGTAAAACCACATTTTCAAAAGTCGCCGCTCCATGCGTCGCTTCTTTGTTGAAGTCTTAGAGACCGGTCGAAACTTTTATTATCGAACGTTGCGGAAGTTCAGAAATGAGGAAAATGAGGATCTGGATTCGGAAGAACGTGCTGCGCTCAGCCAATCGGCTGAACGTATTTTTGCGCCAGAATCCACGGACGACGAATCATCCGCTATTCGGCTGTCACGCCGCTCATCTGTTCTCGTAATTTTTCAGCTATTGGCGCCATTTGTAGTAATTCTGCAGTTAATTTTTTACTGTTTCTTGAGCCTATCGAAGCTCATGGAAGACGAAGCCACCGATGTCACTGCCAGCTTGTAAATATTACTAGTACTTGCTATTCTTAAATATTTCCAAGTGCCTTCGCTGCTCTAAAAAGTTTATAAGGTGTCGTAAGCGTCACAACCTCGTCTCGAAAACGGTTAATCCTAGAACACTGTGAAGTAACTTGCGATTAGAAGATTGTAAAAAAGCATTTATAATAGCAAAATTAACGACGTGACTTACACAAATGAACAGTCTATAAAAAAGCATAGAAAATGATGGACGAATAAAACTATTTGAAAACCATAGTTCAAGGTTTTCTGTCTGAAGCAGCACCGGGATAGGCTGGGCGATAGCAGAACAGAAAGTCAGCTGCTAGCTCGGCTGGGAGCTGCACATATCTACAAAAAACGGAAGTATCCCAGCAGTGTTAGATCAATTGCTGAGGTTTAACTCTGTGTGATTCCGGATCCTTCAGTCCAATAATTCGATGATCTGATAAGACTAACTTTAGCGAGGAACGTGGAGTTTGCGCAAAGTCGTTTTCTTCCGCTGACTTAACTCAGAGAAAAAGTTAATTATGCAAAAATTTTTGAAATTTGTGCGCTTCCAAGCTCTTCTTTTTTTACAAAAGGTGAGATTTTAGAGTTTTATCGAAGTTGCGCAAACGGAAAAAGTGGTATCTTGCTGTAAAATGGGTGGTAAAAAAGGAAAATACCCAGCCACTGAGCTCCAGGATGAAAATCCAAACAAAATGTCCGTTTCTTTTTTTCTGTGCCAGTTCACTGAAGATGAGTAACAGACCCTAGAAAAACTGTTTACTGTTCCAAAAAAAATTTTTTTTCGTATTTACAGGTCGATTTGATCTCACTTTTTCGACGGTCTTCTTCGAGTACTGGACGCGCAGTTCGACTTCCTGGTCAAGAACTTGCCGAAACGCAGTAGGTTTTTTTTGTGTTCGAAATTTCAAGCTCTCACTGATTGCTTGGGTGAGGCTGTTTACGTTTGAACATTGCAGGCTTGTTTAAATCGACCTATATAGATAAAGCTAATACTTACTTGATATTTCGTGTTTAGAACGACTATCACTTTACCAGAGTGATTCATAACTGAAATAGCGGACGGCTACGTCATTTTCTTTCTTTACTTCAATTTGTTTTGACCAGTGCTGCATTGTCCGTTTTTGAGCCTTTTTGATATCCGCGCAGACACTTTTTATTTCGCCTTAAATAATTATTGGCTATCTGTCGGCAGAAGCACTGCGATTCAACGGTGCATGTTGCTACTTGAAGATTCAACAGTGTGTGTTGAGCGTCATTACCTTATCTTCCAGCTTTGTCACTCGTAAATCACATTGAGACACCAGGCGTTGTTGGAGAATATTGCTACTGTTTTGCATTTATTGTTCTGTAATCAGTTTACTTCTGCATTTTGTTCCTTTCTCATGCCTTAAATTTCTGGTTTATATATTACTTACCTGTGCGTAAGGGTTTTATAAATGGTCGCGAAAAACAAAAGTTGAAATCTAGACTTCAGGCCTTACCACAAGACGGGATTTTAGATTTGAAGTTAGGAGGACGGTACTCTACACATTTATTTTTAATGGTGATAGGAGATGAAGAGCTTGAAACTATTCTTGGCAAATCAGTAAACCTCATTTCCTGAAATTAAATGCCAGAACAAGGTAGTAAGATTTACAAAGCATGTTTTATCAAAGGAAGGTAACTGTGAATTTTTGTCAACTTTTATCAGCTACTGAAAAGGTAGCGCAGACGGTGAGTATTAACTGAAGGCATGCAGCCCAGGATCGAAAGAACTGGCATAGCTACCACCAGAGTGTGGGACCAGCTAGTAAAATCATCAAAATGTGATACCCACTAAAAGCTTAATTAGTTTTGGTATCAACCACTGGGAAAAAATTGGTGGATCAGAGAATGATTGGTTTTCCAACAGCAGCTTTCGTGCCTCAGCTAAAGCTTATCTCATAAAAAAATCTTACTTTTTTCTTCATTTGATGAAACTGTTGTCAGCACTATTTTCCAACACTTTTGTTTTCAGCGATGAGGAGGAGGCGGCGGAAGAAGAGGATCCAAAACAGATGTCGAAAGAACGGGTCCTGGAGGCGATACGTCAAAAAAAGGAAGCCATCATGCGTCTCCGAAGCCAACCGTGGAGCATGCGACGAAAGCGACGTGCCTTAAAGTATGCCTCCATTATTTTTTATGGTCATTTATATTTCTAAGATCCTAATAAGACATCGCTATCTGCTTAGTGACCAATGCCACAGGAAGAGTTCATAGTGGATGCGGGTTGGGCAGACTTGAAGCAGGGTACCAACGGGAAGAGAGGTGGGCGAACATGTGGAGGCAGGTGCGTAGCTTCTTTGTTTTATGTTTTATGGATGTCAGGGATGTTGTGAAATTTGCGCCAAGTCGGGAAACCTCACTTAGTTACCACACAGAACAAATTTTTAGAAATGGATGTCGGGCGTTCGGAGGGGAAGGGAAGTATTTACTAAATTTTACAGGTATCATAATGGGAGCAGAGCGGTGTATTAGACAGAAGGACGAGATTTGCGTCTTTCATTTCACCTCTTGTGCCTACTGCATTGCAAAAGATGAGAAAAGTTCCGTCCAGAATTAAAAAGATATTTTTTTCAGGATTGTTGATTCTTGTCGGAGGAAATCCATCTTTTTTCCTTCTTGTCCAACCTCGAAAAAATTCTCATTTTTCTTGGAATTTTACGAATAGCATCTACAAACTTTAATTATTTTTTGTTTTCAAAAACTTTTCTTGTTATTAAAACAGTACAGCATTCTATTAGCATGCGTCGTAGCCAAACATGAATAAAGTACCAAACTGATGCTTCAGAGTGGCACGCCGATATCTAAAGCGTCAGCAGTCAAAAGTTTCGCGATGGCACCTTTACAAGGTGGAATTGGTGAGGCGGTGGACTACTTTCGGCCGATGGTGTAGCAATATGAAAATTTATCTGATACCTTGGGAAGCAAAAATTAAAATGATTGAAAGTGAGCTGGAATTCGTATTTTTTTCTCCATCAGCGGATCTATAATTCTTTTCTGGATGAGCATCTATCATGGTAGTCTGGGATGCCTGTCGTTTAAAGCTTTTCTGTAGATCCTTTGCCAAAAGATTTTTATATTATTTTACAACTTTTATTAGATACGGGGCGAATATCGCAAATAACTACCAAACTTAGATTCTTTACTCGTTATCTCATCCTTTAACTATATAGCTGACAAAGTTTTGTTATGACCAGTGACTACGTCACTTGATGGCCGGTTTGCTGACGATTTTGGCATTCCTTTCTTATGATTTAGTTACCAGATCAAAAGTTTTACCGATAGATGACTTTCGACAAAACTTTAGCCATTTCGATACGTCACTGATTTGGGTTGATAAATAACACTAACTCATCTTGAACGTTGTCACTTTCAGATCATTATAATGGTGTGCTTTTCAAAAAAAAACTGATAGTGAGAGGCTTAGCATTCTAAGGAATAAACTCCTCCTCAACATGTTTTCTGGGCAATTATTGAGAGGGGAGCCTTCGGGATTCTGACTAGTGCTGCTGGCTACATTTTGCGATGACTCTTGCGATATGAGAATTACAGGGTAATGCGGATTGCGATATCAGTGAGAGCTCTGTGTTCTGACAACGCTTTTTCATTTAAAATCTGTCAACTTGAAATTTTTAGTGTCATGAGGTGAAATTTGTAAAAAACCCAATTTTTATAAAAAATTTCTTTGCTAAAGCTGCAGGTCATTATGGTTCCG